AACATGATGGTTTCATCCACCGCTGCATTTTTGGAACAGGGGTCTGACCTGATAAGGGCCTCCTGTGCATTTGTCCATCTTGGAGCTCTGTCTGCTCAGGAGGCTGATGCCTCTACTCAGGCTGCTCCAGAAACTCACAGAGCACCAGAACTAGATGCTCTCAGCTTTCATACAGAGCAAATTGGTCCCAGAGAGGTGGAAAGGTTGCCCGAGGCTGCTCAGCAAGGGAGGACTAGAAACCTAGATCTTCTACAGAAATAAGCCACCGCTCTTGCAACTTATAGCCAGACACCCTTGGCTGAGAGGCGCTATTGACAACAGTGGCAATTGTCATAAGGACAACTGACTTCTGTGAGTCCACACGCTAGGATTCCTTCTGGACTCCACCAGTATCGCTCAGAAAGCACTAGACTGCCCTGGGAGTTCCAGGACAACTGGGTGTGCCTGGGCAGAAGGTCCCCACGGGTCAGGTGTCTCCAAGAAGGACAGAATCCTCCCACGCTGGAGGGGTGGCCCACGGCCTTTCCTTGCTTCTAATCTGGCTTAGAGAACTTGTGTTCCTTGCATATGGACATTCCATTAGAACATTATTGTCGTACTTAAATAATGTGTAAAAGGCAATACTTTCAACAAAAGCATATAAATCTTTGACCCCAGAGTGGTCAACTAGACTCTCTCCTGTTTTTCTCTACTTGATAGATATAGAGAAAATGTCCTTTGAGGAACTCTGCTACAAGTATCCAAAGGTGGCCATAGAGAAGATAAGTGAGGACTACAAAATATATTGTGAAAAAGCACCTACTAGTAAGATGGGTAAGTGTTTAAACCCACAGAAAGATTGGAGACAGCCCAGTACGAAAGAATCTCCCAACGCAATGAGCCAAAAACCAAAAGGGGAACCGTGCTTTGTTTGAAATGAGGGATGGTCAGACTGTCTCCCAGCTCCTGCCCCCTCCTACAAAGTCATAGAAGGGCATCATGAAAATGAGATGCAGTGATAAGTGAATGAGGATGAGGATGAAAATAGTTAATTCCTGCCTTCTTGCCTAGTTATTACTCTGGGCTTTTAAATAATGCAGATTTATCTTCTGCAAAGTTCCCTGGAGTCAGAGATTTATAGAAGGAGGTTTGTTGGGAATAACACCTGTAAGGGAATGAGAGGAAAGCAGCACTGGGCAGAGGTAGGCGCTGACTGTTAGGCGGTTACAGTAGACCTCCTCAGATCCTTGTAAGAAGCTGGAGAGCCAGGTGACACTTTAGCATGGTCCCTCACTGAGGCAAGGGGCTTTTATAACATCTGTATCATCTCACAGGGGTGTGGCTGTCCCTCAGGAGGGTCTGACCTTGCTCAACCACTGAGCCACACTGGCTAGGCCACATATTTTTGACATTTCAGCCACATTCCCCATGTCTCATATGCTTTACTCTGTTTTTTCATATTTCTTTTTTCTCTCTTTGTTTCAGTATAGATATTTTCTTTGGGTCTTACTCCTAGTTCAACAATCCTCACTCAGCTATTTATAATTTGTCATCTTACCCATTTCTTAACTCTCAATTTTCTACATTTCAGTCATTAAACCTTTTATTTTTAGAATTTATTTTTTTTCCTTTTTGCGATACTCAGTCCGTGTTGATATTTTTTCTCTTTTAATTGCTTACATTAAATGAATAGTAGTAATTTTAAAGTCCATATTTGGATTTCCTGCCATGTTTTTTTCAAGTGTCATGTGTTGTTGTTTTTCTCCTTGGTTTTCGGTCATCTTTTGAAATGCCTTGTTCTTTCTGCTTTATTTGTGAACGTGCTGTTGGTACAAGTTTGTAGGGATGATTTGAGGCTCTGGGTGACCTTACTATCCTCTGGAGAGGGTTTGCTTTGCTTCTCACACACACTGAACAGGCACATCCAGATGACCTTCACCCACTGAGGGTTAGAGCTGGTTCAGAACTAGCTTCCATGCCTTTTGATGGGTGAGCGAGTTCTGGTTTTCCTTCCTTTTGAGGGGGTGGTCCCAACTGAAAGCCTGGGGTGCTCTTCAGGGCCTCTTCTCCTTTGCTGTTTTGCAGTTTTGCTGTCTTCTACCTTGAGAGCCCACCAAAAAAGTTCTGTATTTCTCAGTAACAATTTTCATACTTGTCAAATGCCTTGAACGTAAAAGCAGTGGCCAATGGGTTTCTCTGCCCATTTTCTAAGGGCGCACGGCTTTGTCTTGGGTCCTGTTCTGAACTTGAACACGGCAAATGCCTCCAGGGCAGATGCACTGTTGGTGTCAGCTTACCCTCTAGTTTCTAACCTTCTCTTTGCTTCTGATCCCTACGTTTCTATTTTGGTTTGTAGTAATGTCTTACAGGCTTCCTTACAAGTTTGAACGTATGTTACTCTTTTAGCCAGCATTTCTAGGTGTTTTTTATTGGGAGGTTTCTTGGGGTTCTTTGTTTTGTTTTTTAATATCTGGTCTTCCATTGTCTGGATTGTACTTTTTCACCTATTCAATTGCGTATTAGACTCAGTATATGTTTCTACTGTTTCCAATCCTTTGGCATATTATCTGTCACTGAACGTATTACCAAACCAGACAAAAATGTCCTATGTGTGTGTGGGGTGGGGGGACATTCTAGTTAATAAATAGTTTATAAAGGATTTACTATAACCAGGCCATGTTCTAATTTCTGGAGGGGCAAGATGAGTAATATGCCATCCCTGCCCTTGCAAAAGTCTGCATTATTTTCTACGATATTAACAACCTCAAAAGGCTCTTTGAATACTAAAATGCTTGGAGCCTGTCATTCTTAAAAAGTAATGTTTTTAACATATTTTTGAAATAATGGTTTCTAAGTGGCAATAGGGCACCAGACACCCACTCCAAATTGTGTACTATGGTGCGACAGAATACCACTTGAGAAGTTTCCTGTGCAAGCAGTGTCCTCAGGAAAGGGAATGGTTTCTGTTAAAGCCAGAAGGTGGGGGGAACTCTTAATGAGGAGGTCAAGCAAGAATCCGTGAGTTTGCCCTAACTGGTTTGGCTCAGTGGATAGAACGTCGGCCTGTGGACTGAAAGGTCTCAGGTTTGATTACAGTCAAGGGCATATACCTTGGTTGTGGGCACATCCCCAGTAGGGAGTGTGCAGGAGGCAGCTGATCAATGTTTCTCTCTCATCCAATGTTTCTAACTCTCTATTCCTCTCCCTTCCTCTCTGTAAAAAATCAATAAAATATATATATTTTTAAAAAGAATCCGTGAGTTTAGTGATGACAAAGCAGGGGTTCCAGAGGACAAGTGGAAGGGTTTCGGAGGAGGCAGCAGAGGTGTCCGGGGAGACTGTCACGTGGAGTACAGTCTAGTAAAAATGACTGCTTGGGGGAGAGATGCTGTTTGGTGCTGAAATGATAAGAAGTATGATGGAGTAGGTCTCAGCAGTTTTCTAAGGAAGGTGGGCTCTAGGCCTAATAGCCGGCAGACGTAAATAACACAGCCTGGACTGATATTAGGGTCAGGGGTTAGACTCCTCCCCAAGTCTCTTATGCCCTCATGGCCCATGCACTCCCAGCACTAATGGCCTGAGATGGCAGCAGTTGTGCGGACTGTGGTTTTCCCACATGCACTCTTGCTACTTTGTCCCTTCTTCTTCTCTGCAATGTTCTTTATAACGTGGTGTTGCCCAATGTTGTGACTTCTCATTAGATTACCAGTATAAAGTCTATCGTCAGATTACCAGAGAATCAAGGACACATTCACCCCCACATAAGGAAGCGTCCTTAAAAAAGATTCCTGTTGTAAGGAAGCCTTCACACAGACCCAGGTAAGACATAGGATCTGGTGACACCAATATCTCCAGGCACAGCCCTGGAGTTCAGCATGAGCCTATTTTTCTGTGGTAATGTCCACACTCTTTTCCATATATCGCATATACATGCACAAGCATACTAAGTATTTTAAATCACTGTATGTTTTTGAAACCCGGCACCATGCAATATGTATTATACAGTAAGTTTTTCAACATAGCAAACTATTATGGACATCCTTTCATGTCAGTATGTGCACAGGTCTACTTTCTTCCATCGAATGGATGTAGCATGATTTATTTAACTATATGTTTTTCATGGATATTTATGTTATCTTTTTTTTTTTAAATATATTTTATTGATTTTTTACAGAGAGGAAGGGAGAGAGATAGAGAGTTAGAAACATCAATGAGATAGAAACATCGATCAGCTGCCTCCTGCACATCTCCCGCTGGGGATGTGCCCGCAACCCAGGTACATGCCCTTGTCCGGAATCGAACCCGGGACCCTTCAGTCCGCAGGCCGACGCTCTATCCACTGAGCCAAACCGGTTTTGGCTATTTATGTTATCTTCAATTTGTTATTGCTAGCAGCAGTACCATAATATTCGTCTTTGTACATGCGTCCTTGCATATTTGTGTTTTCTGGATTGCGTGTGACTGTAGAAGCCTCTTATCTGGGTCCTTACTTCTTGTCTCTCCCCCTCACAATCAATCCAAGAGTCGGCCTCTGGTAAGATCCCACTGCTGGCAAAGACTCTGTGGCCCGTGCTTTCAGGAGTGCCCCCTCACCTTTATCCACTTTTCTTAGTACAAATGCCACCTCTACATAGAAGTTATCCAAATGTATGACTCCCTCTCCTCTGAAACACTAAACCCCTAAAATATAACCCCAAACACTTACCATGTACTATTTTGTACTGCTCTTTATTTTTTAGGTATGTTTACTACCTTCTTGACTAACATTTTCTTGTAAGCCAGGACATTCGTTCAGTCATTCATTTGTTATTTATTTATTTAATTAATTTTGTTTGTTTGTTTTAAATATATTTTTGGTGATTTCAGAGAGGAAGGGAGAGGGGGAGAAACATTTGTTTGTTTGTTTTAAATATATTTTTGGTGATTTCAGAGAGGAAGGGAGAGGGGGAGAGAGAGAGAAACATTAATGATGAGAGAGAATTATGACCGGGAATCGAACTGCACGCCCCACACTGGGGATCAAGCCCGCAACCCGAGCATGTGCCCTGACCGGGAATCGAATGGTGACCTCCTGGTTCATAGGTCAATGCTCAACCACTGAGTCATGTCAGCTGTCCAGTCATTCATTTTTTTAATTCACTATCTATTAATGACTAGTGACATGGAAAGTTCTCTTACAGAGGATAGAGATAGATTAGCATGTACAAGTTTGGTAGTCAACATCACTAGCAGAGTATTTGGAGAGAAAAGTTCCCAGAAGTATGTTTTCAGTTACTGTTAGCCTTCACAGGGGCTGAAAAGCCCTCTGTCTCTTCTAAATACTCTAGAGAGGTTTTTCCTCCCTTTCAAGGAATGAAATTAATCCCTGAGGTTTAATCTTTATTCTGTTTGATATTCTAATTTGTACTACTTGCTACTTTTCACTATATCTACAGAGATTCGTATTTTCCAAATTAGTTGAAAGTGAATATCACAGAAGTCTTTTCTAGATCATATATTTATAAGATCATTAAATTCTAGAGGGACTATGCAGGGTTATATAGTCTAGTTTCACGACTCCATTAGGACCACAGCAGAATGGTGCAGGTATACCACAGTTGCAACTCTCTTAAACCTTTTCCTTAGTCCAAAATTCAATGTACTAAACAGTTTTTGATCATACACAGTGTTCCAGACATTCTGTGGATACTAATGATACAAATAAAGACATAGTCCTTGCCCTTAATCCAATACATATCTAAATAAACTACAATACTGACCTTTAAATGTTATGATAAAATATTGACTAATTGCTATAAGAGCATAATTGAAGGAGGAAATTTTGTATGAGGGTTAGGAAAACTTAGAATATTAAAAGAGGCCCTGATCTGCATGGAGCAATTCAATTGCAAAGAAGGGGAGTGTTTTGTGGGTAGAGCTAAATCTTCCAAACTGAAGAGATGACACGAAGAAATAAACTCAGAAGTATGAAAGTGGAATTTGAAAATAGTCCAGTGGTGTTAAAGCACAGAATACTTGGGAAGAATTTAGACATAAAATATAAAATTAGAAACCTAGATTGAGATTAAAATAACTGAAAGAAGGTTTTGAGTGAATTATTAAGGAATTTGTGTTGATTAAGTGGCAATAAGGATTCATGGGGGTTTGTTGGAACAGGAGTAGCAAAACAAAACAAAACACACCCTATTATATGGATTTTTAAAATATTACTCTGGTAGACATAAAAATAGTATGATGAGTCAGAGACTCATACTAAAGGCAGAAATAATAGTTGGAAGGTTTTGGCAGTTGTTTGGGCAAGTGATATTAAAAACCTGAAGTTAAAAGTGGAATCCTATATAATAAAAGTAAATATGCAAATCGACCAAACAGCGGAACAACTGGTCGGTGAGCAGGTGGTGCCAGGCCAGCCAAGGCGTGTGCCAGCGGGCAGAGGGAGGGGATGGCGATGGAGTGGGTGGAGGGCAGCGGCAACCAGTGGCAGGGCGATGGGGGCTCCTGTCAACCCCTGATCGCCTGCCTGGTCGCCTCCTACAAAGGGAGGCCACAGGCAGCGGCAATAGCCAAGCGATTCAGGGCGGGGCCGGCCACTCGCCATCCCCAGATCAGCCCACAGGGGTCACCTCCTACAGAGGGAGGCCAGACTGTGGCTTAGGCCCACTCCTCAGGGGAGCAGGCCTAAGCCGTCAATTGGATATCCCCTGAGGACTCCCGGACTGCAAGAGGGCACAGGCCGGGCTGAGGGACCCTCCACCCCGAGTGCACAAATTTTCATGCACTAGGCTTCTAGTAGATATACAAGGGAAGATACAGATTAAAAAACAAAACAAAACACTGAAGGTGAGGAATTGGACTTCTGCAATGGTAGAGTAAGAACTTCAAAAAATTGTCTCTTCAAATGGTAAAACTGGACAAACCTGTCAAAAATTTTAGAACTCTATAAATTATGTCATCTAAATTTTCAGTTAAAAAATTATGCATACCCCCATTCTCCCCCCCCCCAAAAAAAACAACACACAGGAAAGGATGGCTCGTACACAGAGAGGAAAGAGCACTCATTAGAAACTTTTATCTTTGAAGTGATTCAGATATTGAACTCTAAGGACTTCTAAGCAATATGTTCAATGAATTAAAGGTTGTGGCATGTTTAAAAAAATTAAAGGAAAGTATTATGATAATGATTCATCAAATGAAAATATCTAATAAGATAAATATTATAAAATAGAACCAAATAAAACATTGGAAAAGTATGATAATTGAAATGAAAAAATCACTAGAAAGAATCAATAGCAGATTTGAGTTGGCAGAAGAATTTGTGAACTTAAAATTAGCTCAGCAGACATTATCCAGTGTGAAAACATCACAAAATAAGAGAACTGTGAGACACCATCAAGAACACCAACATACAAATAATGGAAATATCAGGAGAGAGATAAAGGGGCAGGAAAAATATTTGAATATGCAATGGTTGAGTACTTACTCAAAACATACTAGAAGCTGAATGAATCCCAAGTAGGGTAAACTTAAAAATATTCACACCTAGGCACATCATAATCAAACTATTGAATGACAAAAAGACTAGAAACATAGGTTTACCATATGAATGAAAATTGAGATCACAGAGGAGGTAAGGATGGGGGGCGGGGAGGGGAGAGGGAGGAGTCATAAGGCAAAATTCAAGAGGATTGAGAATGAAACATTAGGAGCACCTTTATTTAAGGAACAGTGAAAAGGAAATCAGCAAAGGCAATTTAGAAATATTGATCAATAATTGCTGATCACTCTTGCTCTACCCACTGAAATGATTGCCAGTTAGGGGTTGTTTTGAATCCATAATGCAGAAAGAAGGTGGTTCTAGAAAAAAAAAAATTAGCCCCTTTAAAATACCTCTCGTCCTCTTCCATTGATGTTGGCAAATGATTGAACCACGCTTAGGATGGACACATAAAAATTTATCTCCAAGGAAATAAGAGTAACCAATTCATTCACCCTGATCTTCACACATAGTTAAAGGTCCCGCAGCCCGGGAGAAGCCCTTCCCCATTCCTTAAGTGGAACAGAATTCAGGGTCACCATCCATTCTCTCAACCAGTGATGCTTTCTTGTTTCCAGAAACCTGGCAGAAGTCTTTCGAAATGTACAGCACTTGGAGTACTTCACGGAGTTCCTCAAAGAACGGAAGGCTGAGGGCCCATTGCAATTCCTGATGGCATTACAGAAGATCAGTATTGAGACAGATGAACAGGTCTCCAAGTCTCTTGTTGAAAATGTAATGGAGACTTATTTCTCTGACATAGTCCCTGCTGGTATGCAGCTTCCTCCTGATACTGTTTGCTTCTCCCTTTAGTATCATAGAAGAGTCTGGAAAAGAGCTGGTCTTGAGTCTCCTAAGGGAGCATAACAGAATAGCGGCCACATGGGGCAGTATTGAAACAAAGATTAAGAGGGATGGTGAAAGCAGAGAACACCAATCAATTAGAAATATTGGTAGTAAAAGAAGCCAAGTGCAAAACACTTGCATTTATATGTGAAATACATACTCTCAGTTAATTTTACCCTGAAAATGGGATTTTATTTAATCCCTAAAAGGTAGGGATAAATAGCTCTACTTAACTAATGCAGAAGGTGAAACAGAGGAGCTAACTAACTTATCCAATTGGTGCAACTTGAATTCAGACTCAAGTTGTTTGACCTTCAAATCAACTACACTGGAGTTAGATACAAAAGCGAGAGTAAACTCTATGCAAAGCAAGCGTGTCCACCACTCATAGGTTATAAAGGTAATTGTGCCAGGAAGCAGAGCTAACCCTTGGAAAATCCTCATAATTTTGCCTTGTTTTCTTGCCTAAGGTGGGAGGGTAAATCTGACCCTGTAAATTCATTTGGCCAGAAGCAGAAGTTGAATGTAAAGTATTGACCTATAAGTCTGAAGGCAAACTAAAGGGGGTGAGCTTGGTTCCATCTTGGAGATAAACAAGCCAAGTAATAAAGATGAAGCCTACTGTTTTGACAGAGATGGTGTGTGCGTGTGTGTGTGTGTGTGTGTGTGTGTGTGTGTGTGTGTGTGTCTGAGTGTGTGTTTTGCTTGTGGTCAACCAAGAAAGGTTATAGATCTTGTACAAGTCAAAAAAGAGGTAAAATTGGCAAATCTTGTAAGAAATGTTTATTTATTAAGTGTCAGGATATCAAGTTCTGTACATTGTTTTGAATGAGCCAGAAGTGAACACCATAGTCTTTCAACAAAAATTGTATTGCCCTTACAATACTTACTTGTAATCTTGGATTTCTCATTTGCCTCAGCAATTAACTTTAATCCTTTACCTTTCTGCTCTCTTCCTGAACCAAAAACTTCAAACTAACTGCAGAAATGAGTCTTTTAAATATTTATTCCCTTTACACACTTATCTGAGATTTGAGTGGAACTAAACTAGAATAGGAACAGTATTTGCTCTACAAATACTCTTGCACGTAACACCTGAAGATGTGTTTGAGATTTTCAAGCAATCTGTGGAGAGATCAGTCTAACCAGATTGAGAATAAGGGACTGTAAGACTCTGAGATGAAAAAAACACCAGCTACTTTAGAAATGATAGCCGAGAGATGATGGCTTCTCTCCCCTCCCCCTCTGCCTCCCTTCCCCTCCCCTCCCCTCCCCCTCTCCCCTCCTCTCTCCCGCTCTCCATGTAATTTTCTAGAAGAAGTGCTGCAGTGTGATGACCCTATCATCAGAGAAGTCTCTCAGAAGGGTCGTCTCAGCACAAACTCATTGTTAATCCTCCAGAGCTGTGTCATGAAATCTCTGGAAGAAAAGTGGTGAGTATTGCTTAGTGGAGGCAGTGAGCCTTTCTGGAGCTGCCCATTGGCTGCTGCAAGCCACATGATTCAAGTCTCATAATACACTCACAGAGTTCATCGTCAGAGCCTCCCTACAAAAGAAAAGCCGAACTTATCTTGAACCTTCTTACCTACCTACATGGATGTGCGGGCATGCACACACACACACACTCTCACACACACACTTCTGTTCATTTGTCTGAACAGGAACAATATAGCATTGATGGGACGGGCAGGCTGACATTAGCAAAGGATGGAAATATTAAGGAGACTATTTTTGACTATCTTGATGTTCCCCAATTTCTACTTTGACTTCCTCCAAAAGCAGAGATAGGTTTGCCTTGGCTGCTCCTGTTGGTGTGCCCAGGCTTTGGCCTTCTGTGACATTCCTGACCTCCTCCTGGTAGGTTTAAAGAATACCAAGAGCTGTTCCCAGATTTTCCTCAGGAAGTGCAAGCTCAAATACGAACTGTGTATAGGAAGCCCTCGAAGACTTCATCAATGCAAATGCAGGAACCCCAGGTGAGTGAGGAAGCCAGTGCAGACCAGACACTGGGGACGAGAAAGCCACTGCCTAGGTATTGTCGCCCATACAAAACAGTTGCGCTGTTAGCTTATTCAGTCACCAAAACAACTACTCTCTGGGGTAGGTTTCTGAAACCCCGTTTTATGAAGGAGGAATCTGAGTCTCATAGAAATTAAGTGGGAATTTAAAGAAGTCGCTCTCTGCTGTCTTTGTGAGAGGCAGCAGGTACTGATGGAGATGAAAATGTCAGGTTTCTGTTTTTTGTGTTTGGGTTTTGTTTGTTTGTTTTTTATTGCTGACAGCTACTTTCAAGGACATGAATTGACCAGGAAGTCAAAAGGGTTTGATCATCCTTTCTCTTTTACATTCACATGTCCAGTCACGATAGCATAATGGCACAACTTAGGCCCCCACTTACCTGAGTGAGCCCCTTCCTGTATGAGAAAGGGCAGGCCTGAGCATGTGTCCTGAAGACAAACACTTCCCAGAGAGAGTGCAAAGGGCCCAGAGCAGGCCATACCTGCTTCCTTCTTCCAAACTCATCAGTCATCTAACTCATTCTTTCTCCCACTGGAGGAGATAAAAAGGGAAGAAAGAGAAGACAGGCATGCTATTCAGGAAAGTCTTCATAGGGTTGGAGAAAAAAATAAAAAGAATCCTAAATAATCTCTTAAATAATCTTGGTTCAATGTATTATAGAGTTAGTTTATATCAGAAAAACTTGACCTCTGACTCGAAAGATAATGCCCCGATATTTCTGAAAATCATTCCTATGCCCATTGACCCAATACCCCAGGTATGGAAATGGGCTTCCCTGGCCTTTCTTCTTTGTATTTCCTCCATACATGCATCAACTCCATGTCAGGGTACCAGGAAAGATCACATAGGACATTGGAAAGAATACTGCACTCAGAACCCGATGCTTTGTTTTACTTTCAGGTCTTCCTGTTGCTCTTAGATAAGAAAAGATAAATGGAAAACCAACATGTACATAAGCCTACTTTGTGCTAAGTACTGTATTAGGGTTTTCATATATCATCACTAACCCTCACCACAACCATTTGTTTCTGTCTTACACGTGGAGACATGGACTCATGGTTTAAGTAAGTTGGCTCAAACTGTATACAATTAGGGTGAGCTAGGTTCCAGACTCAAAGTTTCTGATTCTAACTCCATGGGTTTTTTAACTTTACCTCCGGCTCTCTGAAGCCGTGTTTCTACTGAGGTTACCTGCCTGTAGAACGAGACAACAAAACTAGATCAGCCAGATGCTTTCTGGCCCTCAACATCCATTTTTCAAGGGGTAAATGAACTAGAGAATGTTCACTAGGTCTCTATGAAGAAATGGATGAAGAAACTTACCAAATGAATTTGTGTGTGAGAGTGTACGAGCGTGTGGTGTATGAGTGTCTGCATCTAATTATTAGTTTTTCTTTTTTAAATGCTTAGAAATAGTTTTATTCATTTCCTTATTTTTTTCAACATTTCAAAATCTGCCTGCGCCATTATTCCCGCCTTGTGAGTCATACTTATCTCTGTCCTCTGTTTCTTCCTGTTTTTAGCTCGGACAAATCCTTTCTCAATTACGGCAACTCAAACCTTCATTTGCCAATGGCCCCAGACATGCCTGGTTGAAGCCAGAATCTTCTCAGCAGCTGCTTAACCTGGGGAAGGTTATACAAGTTCTCTGACCTGAATTTCCTGGGCTTTTAACTGGAGCTTAAGATTATTCCTTTTTAAAGGAGGTGTTGTGAGGATTGCATGTAAAGAATGTCGAGTTCCGGGGCATAGTTAACTCTCAGTGGACAGCAGCTGTACTAACTATGTCATACCCTCTCTCTTTCCCCAGAAAAGAATCTGGCCGAAATTGGTCGGCTTTATCAAGAGCTTTTGTAAGTACCGCAGATGCATGAACAATGTCAACTTGCGCCAGGAATTTGAAAAATATCTCCACCTGGAACTTAACAACAAGGAAAGTAAGTCACATGTCTGTTTGCTGTCCTTCCCTGTTGATTTCAGTAGCAGGACTGGCTCAGAGAAGAAGCTGCAGGGGTATGGCTTTGTGTCATTCATGTCTGCATTAGCCTGGGGTCCAGCAAGAAGTCCAGGTTCTGGGTGCAAAGCCAAGCCCAGGCCAGCCTAGAGAGGATGGGAGTCCAGTGGCATCTGCTCAGGGACCCCGAAAGGGTGGAGGACTAGGCTAAAGCAGTGCGAGATCTCACATTTTACCAAACTATTTGCTGATGTTGTTTGTTAGTAGTAAGAGATTTATTAAATTGTTTCGTTCATTCACTCAACGCCCTTTTTGAGAACGTGGCAGGCACTTTGCTGGGGGTACAGTAGTGAGCGTGCAGCACAGGATCTGCCCTCAAGGTACCTCCAGTTTTGAGGGCAAGGCAGCAAGTAAGAGCCACAGATGTTGGAACCAGATTTCCTGGGTTTGAATCTGGCACTTTCTAATGGGAGGACCTTGTGAAAGTGGCTTTGTGCCTCAGTTTCCTCATCTGTAGAATGGAAATAATTGTGCCTGTCTCAGAGAATTGTTGTGAGGATTAAGCGTGTGTGTGTGTGTGTGTGTGTGTATATATATAAATATATATAATGTTAGAACTATTTTGGGCAATGGTAAGTGCTGTGAAAGCGTTAGCCAGTATTCTTGCTATTATTATATCACTAGAGGCCTAGTGTACAAAATTCATGCATGGCGGAAGGGAGGGGGCCCCCTCAGCCCAGCCTGCACCCTCTCGCAATCTGGGACTCCTTGGGGGATGCCAGACTGCCAATTTAAGCCCGATCCCTGGACCACTGGCTCCTAACCACTCGCCTGCCTGCCTGCCTGATGGCTCCTAACTGCTCGCCTGCCTGCCTGATCACCCCTAACCACCTCTGCCTCAGCCCCCGCCACTGCGGCTTTGTCTGGAAGGACATCTGGAATGACATCCAGAAGGTTGTTCAGCTGTCCAGTCTAATTAGCATATTATGCTTTTATTATTATACATTGTGATGAGTGATCCTATTGATGATTGCAGGGAGACCCTAATTAGTCCAGGGGGAGGATCAGGAGAGAAACATACCAAAAATGACATAAAGTTGAGTTTCAGAGATGAGCGAGTTAGGCAGGCAACATAGAAGGGAGTGATTTCTAGGTCTGCATATAATCCTAAAACAGGAAAGAGGGGATGGTGCAGATCAGGAACTTGAGGCCATTAATCTCCAGTTGGACTGGAGATTAATGAGATGGGGAAAGTGAGATGAGATTAGAGGGTTTGAGAGTCACAAATCTTGTGTCTCTTTTGATGACTTTTTGCGTTGTTCCAGCTGTCACTTCAACAAACAATGCTGCAAAACTTATTTTGCAACTGTCAGTTTCTATGAAATACATTTTTAAAAATGGAAGTAATGGGTAAATGGTTAAAAATAGTTCAGTTGTGGCCTTCTAAAACCACTGCACTAATTAAACTCTCACCAAGAGTATAAATGAAGGCCACATTATCACCCACATGGGCTCTTATACATTTTTTAGAAATTGGCAGTCTGGTAGATGAAAAACAATGTACAATTCTTATGTACATTTTTTTAGTATTTGAGCACCTTAATTTATTGGTCATTTGTATTCTTTTTGAACTGTTTATATGTCCTTTGTCTATTTTTCTATTGGAATTGTAGTATTATTATTGTATTTCCTAACTTGCAAAAATTTTTTGTATGTATGTCTTATGGACTGCTTCACAACCAAACATTTAGGATTTAAGAATAATCCTAGTCCTGGCTGGTGTGGCCCAGTTGGATGAGCATCGACCCATGCCCCGAAAGGTCACCAGTTCAATTCCCTGTCAGGGGACATGCCTGGGTTTCGGGCTTGATCCCCAATAGGGGGCATGCAGGAGGCAGCAGATCCGTGTTTCTCTCTCACATCAATGTTTCTCTCTCTCCCCCTTTTCCTTCCTCTCTCTCTAAAAAAATCAATAAAAACATATTTAAAAAAATTAGTTCTAGCTCTTTTGTTTCTTCTTTTAAGTAAAATCAATTCAACCTCTTATGCCCAGGATGTAAGAAGTCCAATTTCACCTTCTTTCGACTTCCTACATCCCCAGCATTGTATGGGAGCCCAAGAAAAAGACGCTCCTGCAACTCCACAGGAGCTCTGCCCGACCAGTGGTCCACCACTATAGTCTTTTCCAGAATTATGTCCTCCAATTAATTGACCCATTTCTCATCATGAAAGGACCTTCTTTATCCTGGGTGATATTCTTTTCTCTGAAATGTACTTTGCCTGATATTAAAATAGCCACTATCACATTTTATTAGTGTTAGCCTATGTGACTTTTTCCATTCCTTTCCTTATAACCTATTTAAAGCCTTACATTTAAAGTGTTTTTCCTGTAGCCAGCATATAATTGGCTCTTGCTTTAAAAAAAAAAATCCACCGTTATGACCTTAGCCCAGTTGAAAGCCAATTGTTAAGCATTTAGGTATTTTGTGAGCTGGTTGACAAACCATTGATAGATTGAAATCAACCATGGTGGGAGCATTTGCTATAGAAACAGGCAAATAATACAGATCATATCTGCCCAACCCCTACCAGAGAAGACTTGTCAACCTGACCCTGCATCCAGATTTCTTGGGTGGATTTGGCATGCTCTTTCCTAAAATCCCTGATGATCATATCAATTTCCACTATTATTCAAACTCTTTTTCCCTTCAAATGCAAGTCTCAGAGATAGAGAAAGAGAGACTGTAAGAAAGTCGGGAGAGACCTTACGCTTTGTAACCCTAGGACCTAGCACAGTGTCTGGGACACAGAAAGTGAGAGGTATTTACTGAATATTGTAGTCACCCTCCCATCAGAACGAATCCCACTAGACAGTTTCTTACTGGTAAACCCAGCCAGGCAATGAACTAGGGCCTACTTGTCGGATCCAGTCCAAAACTATTCTCTCCTAAGCCCTGAATCCCTATGAGTGGGTTTCTTTGAATATATCCTCATCAAGAGACTTTCTAAAATAACTGCCTTGGTTTTCTGACACACAACCCAAACCTTGAAGAATCTTCTCCTTTATTCATTCCTGTCATGTTTCTACTCTAGCTTCCTACCCTCTGCTTCTTAGTTAACCTCTTTACCCTTCCTGTTTGGGCTTTTTCTTTGTGCTTCTTCCCCAGTTTACTTCTAAACTACTTCCCTGATAAACCTCGAATAAGCAGCATCAGAACCACACACTCTACTTTGAAGGTCACCTCTGCATGTTCAGTTTCTGCAGCCATGTTAGGGATTGGCATAATTACAGTGTGCTCCTATCTCTATTAGACCAGCATCAGGAAGACACCTTTCAATACTTGGTTGATTTCTTTTTGGTATGTATGTTGTCATACCATCTGAGCAGATGGCTTTTCCAGCAGTCCTTCAAGTCCAAGTGAAAGGTCGAGCCCAATGGGAGGGAGTCACTATTTCAGTAGGCCCAAAGGTGTGTCCGTCGTCTTTCACTTTAATTATGCCCAGATTGAAGGCTTCAGGCTTAAGAGGGACTTGCTCAAGCTAGATGTTCATTCCTTCCTCTTTCTTTTTCAGATTACCCTGCATCACCAAATGTACCAGCACGCCCATCCCCACATCACTCAAATGTCCGGAGTGCAGAGGAGAATGGAGATGTAATCTTTATGAAGCGCCGTATATTTGGCCACAGGGTTATCACTGTCAACTTTGCCCTCAGTGATTTATATTTCTTTTCTGAAATGGAGAGGTAAGTTTCCCATCTCGCCTTCCCCTTGTGGCTTTTCATGCTTAGTGCCTCCTGGCAAAGACTGGCACAGTGATTTCTGTGAAAATCTCACTGAATGCTATCACTGTATCAATTTCCACCATTTTTTCCTTTTTCATCCTGAAAGCTCTTCAATATTCTGGAATTCCAAATATTGAAATGCACTTATACCCTGAATGTGGGACCCTTTTGTTCTATTATTTATTAATATGATAGAAATCCTCTTATGTATTGGACCAATAGTTATTTTTTTAATTGATTGATTTGAGAGAGAGAAAAAAACATTGATTTATTGTTCCACTTAGTTATGCATTCATTGGATGACTCTTGTATATGCCCTGACCAGAGATCGAACCTACAACCTTGGAGTATTGGGACAACACTCGAACCAACTGAGCTACCCGGCCAGGGCTGGACCAGTAGTTCTTTAGTCAAAGCAAGGAATTATAATAATTAAGGTTGTGTGTGTATGTGTGTGCATGGCATTAAACAGATATTTTTAAGTTAAAACATATAAATGTGCATTCACTCAACCACCAAACTTTTGATGTAAAGCCAAAGCCATTCCACTAATTGGGGGTTCACATATTTTTCTTGTATATACTATTCCTATAATGCTATCTACTAATTCTAAAAATTGTTCTCTTGTTAAAGTGGAGCAAGAGCCCTAACCGGTTTGGCTCAGTGGATAGAGCATTGGCCTGCGGACTGAGGGGTCCCAGGTTCGATTCTGATCAGGGGCATGTGCCTTGGTTGCGGGCACATCCCCAGTCGGGGGGGGGGGGGGGGGG